AGTTATTTAAGTTATTTTCTAGTTACTTCCTGTTCCCCCCAAAAAAAGAAAATTAAAAACAATCCACTGGACTTTGTCTCCAAGTTTCTAGACGTTTTGCTTCCTATCTAGGAAATGAATGAACGGGTCCCCCCCTTTGGAATGGGGGTCGTTTGGCTTCTTTGTTAGCCTGCAATGCCCCATACCTGTCTATGTCTCTGAAAGGGGGGTCGTTAGAGGGAATTGTTGGCCTGGCTGAACAGGTGAGGTCTTCTGTTCTCCTGTAAAGGGGTTGGAGCTGCGATGATAGCGGGAATGAATCAACTCTATCGCTGCATTGGAGGTTTTTGAAAGCTGAAATCTGAGTCCCCCCCCCCTCTGTTTAAGGTTGGTTTTTCTTGGCTGTTTGGAAATGATTGGAGCTCATACGTTTGGTGGGAGAACCTTAAACTTTGGTCTTCTGAAGTAAAACCTCATCTGATCTGATAAATTGGAGCTGCGGTGCTAAAATAGACCACATGGTGGCAGCGTTGGCCAATCTTTGCCATTCCCAATCTGACAAACTGAAACAATCTGGTCTGGACTTCTGGTATTCATGTTGATCCTAATAATACCACCTTAAAAACTATTTGGTCTTCATTCGTCTGACTCATCGACACCAGAGCTGACTTCATTGTTCAGCTTTATTCCTGTTTCATGTTTGGATGCAGAAAATGTTTCAGCATTAGATATAATGAGTGGGTTCATGTGGGGAACAGGGGATGGTTTGTAGTTTCTTTGCTGATGTTTCTTCCATTAACTCTCCCATTCCTACCGGCAGGGAACCATTCACCCGTTCAGGAAGACGCACCGCTCCATGTTTGGGAAGCTGCTGCAGGAATTCCGACTGGTCTCCTCAGACAGACGGGTAAGAAACCTTTCTGGTCTTTCTGTTTCCCGTCATCGTGGCCTCGTCTCACCTTTCATTCAGGAGAAGGCATCGGGGAATCCTTGCTTTCTAATCCTGTTATGCTGTAAGCCTGTTAGAGGCTGGATCTGAGTCATGAAGTCAACCTGAACACCTCCAGTAATCCCGTTTTCCCAGCTGGTCACCATGTAGTGCTGACAGGAAGGAGGAAGCCCAGAGAGGGGCTTTTCCATACTCTAGTCAACCATTTTGGAAAGCTTGTTTGTGGAAAGTTGCTGCTAAAGCTGAAACCAGTCAGGGTAGCTGGGCTGTTGGAGCGCAGCCTGATTCTGAGCTGGTTTCAGTTCATCCTGAATCAAAGATCAATGGGAAACCAGTGCGGTGCAAATGGAAGCAATCCATCATGGAGGAACGGGGAGGAGCAGAGCGTCATCTGGGCGTCTTTAAGCCTCATGGTTGAGACGTCAGAGAGAAGCTGAAAGTCTGGATAAACTTTTCTCTGAAAGCAGCTTCAGTTAAACGGGTTAAAAAACAAACAACCTTGAATCAGAACCTTCATGGAAGGAAACTGGTTTCCATCTGGAATGATGGAGACCATGAAGACCACAGAGTTCCTGTGGATCCTTAAAGGAAAAGTCCAAAAAATAACGGATCATTATTTATACCTAAAACTAATGCATTCAAGACTTTAATTGGTATTCGAATATCTTTCAAGAGGTCTTAAAATTGTTTCCACGTTATATAAAGGATTTAATTGTTGAATCCAAATCAAACATGAAAATAATTGGCAATAACTTATTTTTTACATTAACCGAACGGCATTATTAGATCCGTCCTGATAGAGCAGAGGTCACGGATTATTGGACCGCGGTCCGGGTGCGGCCCCACCTGCTGGCTAATCCGGACCCAACCTGATTTAAATCATTTATTAATTGTCCGACGGCAGTGTCTAATTTCCCTTGCGCCTCTTCTCCTGTTAATACGGTAAAGCCCTGGGGAGCGTCCGGCTCCAGGCTGCACGTGATCCAAATGAGCCAATGAGCTGTCAGTCTGGGTTGCTGCTGCTGCTACTTTTAGACACAGCAGGCAAACCTGTGGCAAGCCGGGCGATGGGAAAGAAGGAGAAGACCATGAGAAAAAGAGAGCAGAGAAAGTGTGGACTGCTGGAAGAACTGCGGTGAACTGGTGAAAGAAAAGTGAAATGGCGTGCTCAAAGATGACCCTGCACATTTAGAGGATGTTTGGCTCAACCTGCTGCTGTGAAGCAGGATTCTCCACCATGAACAGAATCAACAATAAATCTGGATCCAGGCTCAAAATGAGCTCCTTGATATGTGCTTGAGAATGGCTTAGTCTCCGGTTAAACCCAGGTTTAAAGCCTTGCAGGGCAGCCTAAAGCCCACTGCCAACATTAAGACAGAAAAAAGAAAGAAAATAACAAACCATCAGTTCAGGGGTTTGAGAAAATATGGGAATCAGGAAATTATCTATAAACCAAACTGAATGATTGTTGTTCTCTACTTAAAAAAAGACTTTAGATTTTAAAATGGAAAAAAATCCTTTTTTTTTTTTTTTATTAAATGGATGCATAAACAATGCATTTTATTTCCGTTTTAAATTCTGGTTGAAGTAACAGATTATAATTAAAAATGTCTCTGGACCTTTACTGGTTGATGATTTTCTTTATTCAGACCCGCTGATTTTTAATTGGTTGCCCCTGATTTAGAGGAAACAATAAAAACGATGATTGCAGGCGGACATTGATGGGAATATGCTGCTAACCATTTATCTAAACAACATGGAAACGTTAATAAAATAAAAACTGCCTATCTAGAGTTTTCTACGCAGCTAAAGCTAGTACCAGCACATGTAGATGAGGCACCATGCGGATCAAGGCAGTGGCGTCTCACATGCCGAGCGTCCAAATCAAGTTACGGAGAAGCAGCAGGTGTTTCTACGTTCTCTTCATCCCTTATCTCTTTCAAATCAACATCAGCAACAGTAACACCAAATCTCTGGATAATGTTTGGCGCTGCGCCTACAATGAAAGAAGAGCTATTATGGACTTTGAGGAGGCAACAAAACAAAGTTCATGCATTCAGTTTAGTATTTGTCTTCATCTATGTAGAGTTTTAAGATTAGATAAAATAGGATAGCCTTAATTGATCTCACAGCGAGGAAATTCACTTATCAGATTGGCTCAATAGTGAAAAGGAGGAAAAGGTGCATGTGGTATAAACAGTATATACAGCGCGTTCACATGTATACGATGGATTGAAACAGTTTACTGGGGCAGAAAGTGGTGGTTTATGTTAAAATAAACATTTGGGTAAGATCAGGTTTTTATTGTGTTTAATGTGAGGTTGTTCTTTTTTATTTCTATTGGCATTAAAAAGTCTTGAATGTAACTCAAACGCTGAGTCCAGGTTTGATCCTCCAGACTCTTCAGGAGTCGTTTCTTTTTCTTTTTTTTTTGTACTCTTTATTTCGAACATGCAAGAGAAAAACAATGTTTTAAAACATTGTAGAGAAAAACAACAAACTAGGTCCCCTTCTTTCCTGAGTTAATATACCTCCATTACATGTGCGAAAATGAGTAGGAAGAAGTAAAACTTATGTGCTCCTACCCCTTTATTCTTGTTTTTCTTTAATTTACATTATTTATAAATATGTTGCTATATATATCCATATAAATACATCCCTACCTACACATATACATACATAAATATGTATACACATATACCATCATACATATTTACAAATTAATAAAACAAAAAACACTAAACTTTCTACAATGCTTCTCTATACCTTTTGAAAATAATTTCTTTGTAAATTTTTTTGAAAAGGAATATATGTTTGGGCATTGCTTTAGGTTCTCATTTAGTTTGTTCCACAATTTAACTCCGCAAATTGATAAACATGATCTTTTTCTAGTTGTTCTACATCTATTAGTCTTAAAATTTCCTCTTCACTTTAAATCGTACCCTCCCTCCCTTTCAGAGAACATCTTTTGGATATTTCCAGGCAATAGGCTGGCTTACTTTGAACATGAACACTGCAGTTGGTATTCTATCAAGTCCTGGTATTTTAGCAATTTAGATTTTAGAAATAATGCGTTTGTATGATCCTGAAGTCCGGCGTTGTGAATGATTCATTTTGCTCTTTTTTGCATTCTGACTAGTGGCTGTAGTGAGTGTTGATCAGTGTTTCTTTCAGCGGTGACGTGTAACGTAACCCAACAGACTGAACGTTTCATTGTGAGGAAAATAACTGGAAGTCAGTGACCATAAACGGATCTCAGACCTTATTTATCTGCGGGTGTTATTGTGCATTAATCCACTTTGATGGCACACCAGTCAGAGTGGATTAGGAGGTCCTCCCTCCTTGGATTGGATTACAGCGTGTCGTACCTGGATCAAAATGAATCGGAGGCTTTTTCTTCATATTTCTAAATCCAGAGAAGGAACTTCAGAGGGAGAAGCTTTTGTTTATTCCTGTTGAGCCTGTTGGACCTCATCTAGAGTCCACTGGGATGAATCCTGATTAATATGGTGACTCAACCAACCCGTTTCAGCCCAGTATCCTTTGTTTGATTTCATCTGTTTGGTGTAAAATTTTTAGTAGAAACTCCAATCTAAGGTTTCTCCAAACATCTGGAGCTGTGAGAATGCTGAGCGGCCTCCTCAGGTTTTAGATACGACCAGAAAAAATAAATAAAGAAAGAAGCTTCTCAAATGATGACTTTAGTTCCAGAGGGTGAAGCTGTCCTCTCCATCCTGGCCTGCATGAAGCAGTAATTACCTGCTTATTAACTCTGATTAACCTCGTTATCCTCACTCAGACCTGCAGAGCGGAGAAATCCCTGAAACAGAAACTATCTGGCTGCATGAAGTAGGATTTAAGGTCACATCAACTCAGATTTACAGTGAGGAAAATTAACTGGAGGGTCTGAAATTATTATCATAGGTACATATCCACAGGGAGAGACATAATCTAGAAAAAATAATAATCCAGAAATCACAATGTGAGATTTTTTTAGCTATTTATTTGTGATTCAGCTGCGATTAAGTATTTGAAAACCTGAGAAAATCAATGTTAATATTTGCTACAGTAGCCTTTGTTTGCATTTCCAGAGGTCAAATGTTTTCTGTAGATTTTCACCAGGTTTTCACACGCTGTAGGAGGGATTTTGGCCCATTCCTCCTCACAGATCTTCTCTAGAAGAGTCAGGTTTCTGGGCTGTCACTCGCTCCTAAGATTCTCTATTGGGTTTAGGTCTGTAGACTGGCTAGGCCACACCAGAACCTAGATCTGCTTCTTCCAGAGCCGCTCCTTGGTTATCCTGGCTGTGTGCTTCGGCTCATTGTGACGCTGGAAGACCCAGCCTCCACCCGTCTTCACTGCTCTAACTGAGGGAAGAAGAATGTTCCCCAGAATCTACCAACACATGGCGGCGCTCATCCTCTCCTTAATACAGTCGCCCTGTCCCATGTGCTGAAAAACACCCCCAAGCATGATGCTGCCACCCCCATGCTTCACAGTAGGGATGCTACTCATCAAACACGGTTAGTGGAATTAGGCCATAAAGTTCTATTTTGGTCTCATCTGATCACATGACTTCCTCCCATGACTCCTCTGGATCCAGATGGTCGTTACCTGCAGACGGTTCTTGACATGAGCTGCTTTCAGCAGAGGAACCTTCTGCATGATTTCAAACCATGACGTCATATTGTGTTACCATCAGTAACCATAGAAACTGTGTTCCCAGCTCCTCCCATGTAGTTCTGGGCTGATTTCTCACCTTTCTTAGGAACCTTAAAGGCCCCACCAGGTGGGATCTTGCATGGAGCTCCAGTCTGAGGGAGATGGACATTCATGTTTAGCTTCTTCCATTTTCTAATGAAGCTCCAACAGTGGAGCTTTTTCCACCAAGCTGATTGTTTTTTTCCCCTTAACTGTTTCCAGCCCGGTGGAGGAGGACAGTTTAGTCTCTGGTGTCT